CATTAGCAACATCAGCATCAGCAGCATCAGCAGCATCATCAGTAGCATCAGCATCATCCTTGTCAACATCAACAGCATCATCATCATCATCAGCATCAGCATCAGCAGCATCAGCATCATCATCATCATCATCAGCAACAGCGTCATCATCATCATCAGCAGCATCGTCATCATCATCAGCAGCATCCCCATCATCATACACGTCAGCATCATCATCATCAGCATCATCATCATCAGCAGCATCCTCATCCTCATCCTCAGCATCATCATGAACATCAACATCATGGTCATCGTCCTCATCCTGACTCTCATCAGCATCCGCAGCATCATCAGCATCGTCAGCGGCCTCAGCCTCATCATCAGCAGCATTCCCCTCGTCGCTAGCATCAACATCAGCATCAACATCCACAGCATCATCATCATCAGCATCATCAGCATCCTCATCCTCATCCTCAGCATCATCATCAACATCAGCATCATCATCAGCAGCATCATCATCAGCATCATCGTCATGATCATCATCAGCCTCATCACCATCATTATCATCATCATCATCATCATCACCATCATCACCATCTTCATCTATCATCATCAGCATCATCATAATCACCATCATCATCAGCAGCATCGTCTGCCTTGTGCCGCATTCCTCTGGCTTCTCCTCCTCCGCCGTATCGTGCCCCTCCTCCCCCGTCTATACGTGTCCTCCTCCTCCTACCCCCAAGATGGTCACAGATCGAGCATGGCTCAAGATAGTCTCCGACTGACCTCCAAGAGGCCTCGAGACAGCCTCAGGATGGCCCGAGATAGCTGAGCATGGTTCAGGATAGCCTCCGACAGCCTCTAGCCGAGCATAGCTCAAGATAGCCTCCACGAGGCCTCAAGAAAGCCTCCGATCGTGCCTGGATGAAGAATTGATGTGTCAACTTACAGAAACAATACTACAAAACATCCCGTAGACCTACCACCATTAAACGCATGTTGGTCGTAGGTTTGACGATAAACACGTTAGGGCAAATCAAGTATGTTGTCGATCTCCTACTCGACAGCCGAGGGCCAAGACCCCTCGTAAATATCACGAGATGCGCGCCCCCAGGACCAAGACCCTTTCGCACATTGCAATTGATCCGTACTGTGCTGAACTGTGCTGCGTCATGCTGTGGTGAACTGCGCTGTGTTCCATTGCATTGTGGGCCAAGTCGCTCTAGGCATCCGAATCCTGACCGACGCGATCTGGATCTTAAGCTCGCACTGTCTGAACACATAGCTCGCAAGGAGCTGGCTGCAGCCGAAACGTGTGGGGCGCCCAACCAGCTCGAGCTCTAGACCCGATTCAGCTCCGACGCGAGACGAACCAATAGGGGGCGAACCCGACCGAGGCGAGGCACACAAACAGTGGACGGACCGCAACGCGGCGAACCGAGACGCAACGAACCGAGACAGGACGAGCGGACACGCTACGAACCGAGCCGAGGGCCGAACCTACCTGGTCGAATCGAGGCAAAACGAACCGAGACTGAGACGAGCCGAATACATTTCGGCTCACCCTCCTGAAACTACATGGTGTCCCATGCCTAAGGAGCCGCACTTCGAGGGCTAGCACCCCTAGTAAATTACAAGGAACGTGCGCCACCAAGGCAACCATCCTGGCGCAAATTGCGATTGCGCCGTTCCTGGCAACCGTCGTCTGACCGAAATGATACGGATCTTAAGCTCGAGCTCCCTGAACGCACTGCTCGACAAGAGCTGGTTGCAATCATAACGAGCGGCGCGGCCAATCAGCTCGAGCTCGAGATCCGATTCAGCTACGAAGCGGGGCGAACCGCCAGGGGGGGAACCCGAACCGAGGCGAGGCACACAAACAGTGGACGGACCGAAACGCGGCGAACCGAGGCGCGACGAAGAGAAACAGGACGAGTCGAAACAATACGATCTCGGACGAGGGCCGAACCAAGTAAAACACGGGGATTCAAAGCACTGGCGACAAGAATCCACGTAAAAGCACATGGCTTCAGTTCGATGGCGAAAAGAACCCATGTAAAATGACGTGGGGGCAGCCCACGGGCGAAGGGAACCCATGTAAAAACACGTGGTGTCAACTGCTAGAAGGAATTCACGGGCGAAACAACAACCACTGTAAAAGCACATGGCTTCACCTCACGGGCAAAAAGAACCCACGTAAAAGCACGTGGTGCAAGCTGACGGGCGATAGGAACCCATGCAAAAACACATGGTTTCAGCTCGCGGGTGAAAGAAACCCATGTAAGAGAAATTGCGGTCAGCTCACGAGCGGAAATAACTCATGCAACAAACACATGGTTTAAGCTCGCGGGCACTGGAAACCATGCACAAACACTCGGTTTCAGCTCCTCCTCCTCCTCATCCTCCTCCTGGGGGCCACGAACTGCGTGAGGGGTGTGCCGAGATGGGGCGGCGGTGCCATGCAGACCCTGCGGCTGGGGCCTTCCGTGGAGCTCCCTATGGGACCACGAACCGTGTGAGGGGTGTGCCGAGATGGGGCGGGAGTGCCATGCGGACCCTGCCACTGGGGCCTTCGGTGGAGCTCCCCGTGGGGCCACGAACCGCGTGAGGGGTGTGTGCCGAAATGGGGCGGCGGTGCCATGCGGACCCTGCCACTAGAGCCTTCGGTGGAGCTCCCTTTGGGGCCACGAACCGTGTGAGGGGTGTGCCGAAATGGGGTGGCGGTGCCATGCGGACCCTGCCACTGGGGCCTTCGGTGGAGCTCCCTTTCGTGAGGGGTGTGCCGAACTGGGGCGACGGTGCCATGCAGACCCTGCCGCTGGGGCCTTCCGTGGAGCTCCCTTTGGAGCCACGAACCGCGTGAGGGGTGTGCCGACATGGGGTGGCGGTGCCATGCGGACCCTGCCACTGGGGCCTTCGGTGGAGCTCCCTTTCGTGAGGGGTGTGCCGAACTGGGGCGACGGTGCCATGCAGACCCTGCCGCTGGGGCCTTCCGTGGAGCTCCCTTTGGAGCCACGAACCGCGTGAGGGGTGTGCCGACATGGGGCGGGAGTGCCATGCGGACCCTGCTACTGGGGCCTTCGGTGGAGCTCCCCGTGGGGCCACGAACCGCGTGAGGGGTGTGCCGAAATGGGGCGGCGGTGCCATGCGGACCCTGCCACTAGAGCCTTCGGTGGAGCTCCCTTTGGGGCCACGAACCGTGTGAGGGGTGTGCCGGAATGGGGCGCGGTGCCATGCGGACCCTGCCATTGGGGCCTTCGGTGGAGCTCCCTTTCGTGAGGGGTGTGCCGCCGACTGGGGCGTCGGTGCCATGCAGACCCTGCCGCTGGGGCCTTCCGTGGAGCTCCTTTTGGAGCCACGAACCGTGTGAGGGGTGTGCCGAAATGGGGCGGGAGTGCCATGCGGACCCTGCTACTGGGGCCTTCCGTGGAGCTCCCCGTGGGGCCACGAACCGCGTGAGGGGTGTGCCGAAATGGGGCGGCGGCGCCATGCGGACCCTGCCACTAGAGCCTTCGGTGGAGCTCCCTTTGGGGCCACGAACCGTGTGAGGGGTGTGCCGAAATGGGGTGGCGGTGCCATGCGGACCCTGCCACTGGGGCCTTCGGTGGAGCTCCCTTTCGTGAGGGGTGTGCCGAACTGGGGCGACGGTGCCATGCAGACCCTGCCGCTGGGGCCTTCCGTGGAGCTCCCTTTGGAGCTACGAACCGTGTGAGGGGTGTGCCGAAATGGGGCGGCGGTGCCATGCGGACCCTGCCACTGGGGCCTTCGGTGGAGCTCCCTGTGGAGCCACGAACCGTGTGAGGGGTGTGCCGGAATGGGACGGCGGCGCCATGCGGACCCAGCCACTAGATCCTTGAGTGGAGCTCCCTTTGGGGCCACGAACCGCGTGAGGGGTGTGCCGAAATGGGGCGGCAGTGCCATGCGGACCCTGCCACTGGGGCCTTCGGTGGAGCTCCCTCTGGGGCCACGAACCTTGTGAGGGGTGTGCCACAAGGGAACGGCGGTGCCATGCGGACCATGCCACTGGGGCGTTCGGTGGAGCTCCCTTTGGGGCCACGGACCCTGTGAGGGGCGAGCCGAAGAGAAAGGGATGATGATGACGACGACGATGATGACGACGATAACGATGACTATGATGATGATGATGATGATGATGACGACGACGACGACGACGACGATGACGATAACGATAACGATGACGATGACGATGACGATGACGATGACAATGACAATGACAATGACAATGACAATGACGATGACGATGATGATGATGATGATGATGATGATGATGATGATCATGATCATGATGATGATGATGATGATGATGATGATGATGATGATGATGATGATGATGATGATGATGATGATGATGATGATGATGATGATGATGATGATGATGATGATGATGATGATGATGATGATGATGATGGGAGGAGGAGGGAGGGGGAGGGGGAGAGGAAGGAGGACGAGAGGAGGAGAGGAGGAGACGCGGGGCGCTGTCTCCTCAAAACGAGGACCCAGTACCACAGAATGGTTGGGAAAAAGTGCCAGGAAGAACTCCGAGGAAGAGTTAGCGACGAAGAGAGGGAGGAAGAGCATCGCCGAGGAAGACTTCCGCCGGCATTCTGTAATCATGGCAGGGAAGCCCTGGCCGACGCCCCTTCCATCCAGGAAATAGCCACTGGCCCCTGACCTGCAGACTTGTGCCAGCGGCGCAGCTGCGGCCAGAGCCTGGCCAAAAGGGGGTACGGGGAGGGGAAAAGGCTTCCGAGAAAGAGGCTGCTTCTAAGAAAGGACCGGCTTTACATCGATAGATGTAAAGCCGGCGCCTTTAAACAAGCCAGAGCCCGGCCAAAAGGGGGTACGGGGAGGGGCGGAAGCTTCTTAGGAGGCTGCTTGTTCTTCAAAGGCGCCAGCTTTACATTTATAGATGTAAAGCCGGCCCCTTCTTAGAAGCAGCCTCTTTCTCACAAGCCTTTCCCCCTCCCCCTACCTCCCTCTGTGCGCCGCCAGAGAGCGTCCTTGCCGTGCTCCATGTCCTGCACCTTCTTCCGCGCCTCGTCCTGGCACGTTGCACACTCGGCGCAAGAGAGGTGGCGCCGCGGACCACAGCGGCGGGGAGAGCGACCCTCCTGGAGTCGAGCACAAGACGAAGCCAGGACGAGGCTAAGATCGGGTGGAAGAAAAACGGAAAATCTCTGACATCTGGCGGTTCTGGACGATATGTCAGGCGCCGCGGCCTTCTCAGAGCGTTTCAGAACGCTCTGAAGGCCCCAAAGGGGGCCCAAGAGAGCCCCGAGACTGCCCCAGGAAGCGCCCAAGATGCCAATATCCTTGAAAAACTTACAACCTCAATGAGTCTGCCTTCTCGCCTATTTGTTTTCGATGGCGTTCCAACGCCTCAAGATGGCTCCAAGATGACCCGACGGCCCCAACAGGGGCCCAAGAGATCCCCAAGACGGCCCCAAGAGAGCCCAAGAGTCCCGAGAGCGCTCCAAAAGGGACCCGTCCTCCGCGCGCTGCCCATATCTCTGATCGCTGCAACTCCTCACGGCATCGTCTTTGGATTTGCCTGTGGGTTATTTTTTTGGCACGCGAGCGCGCGAAGCGAGTCGAACGCCGCGCAAGCACGGACAGGCCCTGCCACAAGCTGAAGAAAAACACAAAATAGCGAGCAACGCCATGTACAGAGCGGGACGGAACAGAGCGCAGCCAAAATGGCGAGTGCAGCACCACGCGGCGCCAGGAACACGTCCATGTGGGTGCCGAACTGGATGCAGTGGAAGAGCGAGCCCACGGCGAAGATGGAAGAGTGCCACACTTACCCAGGACGGTGGTGACCACGAAGGAAAATGGCGAAACGTGCCACCGATTTGCCAAGTACCTTGCCGAACACGTAGCACAGGACCCAGTAGGTCTCCACGACGCAGAACGGACTAGCAGAAGTAGCGACGCCAACGAGATGAACAGGAACGGCGGGATAGCAACAGTCGTGGAAGACAACGGCCTCCAGGAACCATGTAGAACGCGCAGAAGAAAGCCGACACGGCGGAGACAAGCACCGCGAGGAAGGAACGGAGGATGGGCGGGCTGCGGCAGCTCTGGGACCCCCCCGTGGATTTCAAATGCGAAGAGGAAACGGGGCCAGCCGGGCTGCGGCCGCTCCGCGCCGTCCAGCGGGAAGGTCAGAGGCCCCAAGGCGAGGGCAAGCACAGGCAAACTGACTGCACATGCTGAGCAGGGAAAGACGCCACCTCTCGCTGGCAAGGCGCTGCAGCGCGACCAGGGGCAGCACGCGTTGGGCTGCCCGCGGGGCGGATGCAAGCTGTGAAACAGGGCCAGGAGTGAAGGAACAAGGAATGATGAGGAGCGGCAGCTGATCTCTGCAAACGCACGGAGGACAGGATGGAAGGCGACGGCGAAGCGCGGGAACAGCTGATCGCTGCAAAAGCATGGACAGCGAAACCGAGCACAGGTGATACCCAGGAAACCAGGCAGGAAGTGACGCTAGGCCCAGGAACGCTCCTCCCCCAGGTTTCGCGGCCGTCCTGGAGCGCGGCTGCCGGCCTGGACCAAGGGCGCCTGTTTCCGCGGCGGGGCATCGCCTTCCTTGCCCGTGCCATCGCCACGCCACAGGTACCACTCGCGCAGCTGTTCCCAGTCAACCCCGAAGTGCTGCGCGTCATCCGTGGACCGCGCGCCCTCGTAATGGTGGCGGAAGGAGTCCAAGAAGCTGACGCGCGTTTGCTGGTCGTGCCGGAGCCGGTCGAGTGCTGCTCCGGAGCCGGGCGAGGAGTGCTTTTGGACGAACGCGCGCCAGGCGCCTGTGAACATCGCTCACAATGCGACTTGGAGTCGCTTGATATTTTTGCCCGGGGCCCCCCGTAAACGCCCCTATGCGCGCCCTCGATCTTGACTTTGCAATGCTGCTTTCCCGAGTCGGGATCCAAGGGTTCAGGCCGCTGGCGCACGGCGCGCCGCCCGCCCCCGTCAGGCGCGGCGGGTCGCTGGTCCCAGGCGTTGCTGCTGCTGCTGATGCTGCCGTGCTCGCCGCCTGTCGTCTGTCGCCTGTCGGACACCACCAGGCCGTCGACGTTGCCGGGCAGCAGGTTCCGCCCGCGGGCGGCGAGGGGGCTGGGGGGTCGCCGGATCTCGGGGCCAGGCCCCGCGCCCAGCCGCTTCCAGGCAGACGCGCCAGCAGCGCGCGCTGGCCGCAGCGCCGTCGCTCCTCGGCGCCGGGACTCACACTGTCGCGGGGGCGGGCGGCGTCAGGATGGAGCGCATCCGTCCGCGCGTCGCTGCTACTGGCTGAAGGTCAATGGAAGCGCGCGGGCGGGCGGGCGCCTGCTCCTGCTCGTCTGGCGCCCCCGGCTTCTGTTCCAACGCCTCCCTGTCCCCAGGCCGTCGGCATCGGCGTCGGCGCCCTCGGCGTTGTCGTCGTCGGCGTCGGCGTCGGCGTCGGCCTCGTCGTTAGCGTCGGCGTCGACGGTCGTCTGCCGCCTGTCAGACCCAACCAGGCCGTCGACGTCACCGGGCACCGGGCTCCGTCCTGCGGGCGGCGAGGCGGCTGGAGGATCACCGGTTCTCGGGGCCAGGTCTGGCGTCCAGCCGCTTCCAGACAGACGCGCCAGCGTCGCACGCTGGCCGCAGCGCCGTCGGAGCTGGGACTTGCTCTGTTGCAGGGGAGGGCGGCGCCAGAATGGAGCGCGTCCGTCCGCGCGTCGCTGCCACGGGCTGAAGGGTCAGCGGAAGTGCACGGGCGGGCAGTCGCCTGCCCCTGCTCGCCTGGCGCCCAGCTTCTGTTCCAACGCCTGCGCTGTCCTCCGGGCGACGGCGCGTCATCAGCGTCGGCGTCGGCGTTGGCGTCGGCGTCGGCGTCGTCGGCGTCGGCGTCGGCGGCAGCGGCGTCGGCGTCGGCGTCGGCGCCCGCGTCGGCATCGGCGGCAATCAGCACGGGTGGCGGGGCTCTGCCACAGGGGCCCAGCACGTCCTCCAGGTCTCTGTCGAAGCACCAGCCGCGCTGGGATGGAGGGTCAGTCGACGAAGTGCGCGGGCGGGTAGTCGCCTGCTCCTGCTCGTCCGGCGCCCCTGGATTCTGCTCAAACGCCTGCGCTGTCCCCAGGTCGTCGGCGTCGGCGTCAGCGTCGTCGGCGTCGTCGTCGTCGTCGTCGGCGTCGGCGTCGGCGTCGGCGTCGGCGTCGGCGTCTTCGTCGGCGTCGGCGCCGTCGGCGTCGGCGTCGTCGGCGTCGGCTTCGTCGGCGGGACGGCAGACCGCGCTCGCGCCAGGACAACCGGCGACGGCTGACGGCGCAAAAAGGCCCTGCACGTTCCAGGACAACGGCTGCACAGCGCCACACCCCCCCCCACCCGCCATCGCCAGATGGGCGTCTGATCGTCGCAAGTGCCCCGCGCGAACCCCCCCAAGTAGGCGACTGCACGTCGCGGGAGTCCCGCGTGAATCTCCCCCAGGCAGGCGACTGATCGTCGCAAACTTACTCTGGGAACCCGGGGGGGTATCACCTACAGGCAGGCCGCTAATCGTCGCGCATGTCTTCTGCGAATCATCCTCATGTACGCGACTGACCGTCGTAAATGTCCCTTATGAATCATCCCCACGCGTCGCACATACCCCTTGTGAATCATCCCCACGCAGGCGACTGGCCGCCCCGCGACGCGGGGGGTCTGCGCCAGGCCAACCAAGCCCTGGCGGCCCCAGCGACACGCTAGGCCCAGCGAGCGGACAGCGCGTCTCTCCGCCCTGCGGCGCAGGAGGCCAGGAAGAGCTAGCGGCGTTGGCGCGGAAACCACAAGTGGAGCAGGTCAAGTTGCCATGGCTGAACACGCCGATGATCGCAATCGTGGCCCAGCAAACGGCGGCAATCAAGGCCGCAAACTCCCTCTGCTTCTCGGCAGCGCGGCTGGCCGTTATCTCCTGAAAACCGCAGTCGCCCGCCATAGCAACGTAGCCCGCGGACTGGTCTCGGGGCAGCACGCCGAGTGCGAGGAACGCCACGATCTGCGCCCAGTCCGCGGACGGAGCCCTGTCGCCCCGCGCGGAGACAGCCAAGCCGTCCTGGCGGGGCACGCCGATGTCCGCCGTCAAGGCCGCGCGACTATCGGCACTCTCGGTCGCCAGCTTCTTCCGCTTCTCCCCGGCGTTGCTGGACGTCGGCGCGCCGAAGCCGAGGTCGCCCGCCGCGGCGGGCGGCGGCGGCCGCATCGACGCGCTCTGCCCAGTAAGCTGATAGCGCGTCGCTCCGCCCTGCGGCGCGGGGGGCCAGGGAAGGCCCGAGACGTTATGTGCCCAGCCCGCCGCGGGGGCCGCGCAGGTCGCGCCAAGACCGCCCAGGACCCCGGCGGACCTCAGGCCAGCCCGAAGCGACAGGTACCCGGGCGGCTCGCCGGCGACGTTGGGCGCGACGTAGCCCGCGGCGGCCACAGAGCCCACGCGGCCGCGCTTCAGCTGTCTGGCGCCTCCTGCGGAGATCCTCTGCGCTACCGTCCGCCAGGAGCCCGATAGGGCCCCACTGGTGCGCGGGGCCCTGCCTGCCGGCGATGCCGCGACCCAGCTCGGTCCGGCGCCGGCCGGCGAAGCTCTCCGAGCCACCATCCGCGGCGGGGCCAGCGGGGCCCCTGCCAACGGGGCCCCGAGCGCGCGCAACGGGGAGCCCGCGCAACACGCCCAGTCGCCCCAAGCGGGGCTGGCCGTGACGCCATGGATGAACATGCCGATGGTCGCCATCATGGCCAGACGACAGTCGGCAATTTCAGCCGCCAGCTCCTTCCGCTTGTCCTCGGCGCCGTTGGGCGCCAGCACCGCCGCAGCGGCGGCAGTGGGGACCGCGGCGCAGGCGCTGGCCGCAGCGGCCACGGCAGCAGCAGCCGCGAAGGCAGCCGCCGCGGCGGCCGCGTCCGCAGCCGCCGCGGAGAGGGCAGCAGACGCGGCCACCGCGCCAGCGGCGCTGGTAGCCGAGACGGCAGCCGCCGCCGCGGCGGCAGGCGATACGGCGGCGGCGGCCGCCACACTAGCAGCGCCAACGGCCAGGCCCGCGCCAGCCGCAGAAGCCGCCCGAGCGGT